ATGGGTTTACTTACATTGGTTTTTATGAATCTTTCTGTTTGAATTTTTATGCAGTCCTCTAGTCACTAGTACAGCTTGATTTTGGTACTATGCCAGTCACTGGGCTGATCTGGAAGTGATTATGTGCCAGGTTTCTAGGGGTTAATAAAGTCATCAGAACAGCAAACCAAGGCTGATAGATTGGACTCGCTTGGCTGGTGGGGTTTGAAGTGTATATCAGTGTGTGTTTCAGCACCAAACGTTGGTGGAGGGAACATGGAGTGGAATCAGGAGCGCTGTCTCACATCTGAGCCGTGTGTCCTGAGGCAGACTGGCCAGTCCTCTCATCTGTGAAATCAGAATTTGTTCATGTACTCTCAGAAGCCCCTTCCAGTTCTAACAGTCTATGATTCTTCTGTCCTGATTTTTAAAAATCTAGATGAGATCCTATTGGGGTTAAGTGAAGTGAAACTCATATGAATTTATCAACGTTAAAAAAAATGAATGCCTACTGCAAGTGAAGGGTGAAATGTTTTAATGTTCAAACAAGGTCTTTGGTCATGCCCACTGGGCCTGATTTTTTCTACCCTCTGTAGGGAATGGGAGGCGGGAGCAGAAGAAAAGCTGCCAGGGCCCCAGTTGGTGCTCGGCTCCTCTGCTCAGATTTAGGGACTGGATTGAGATCTCTTTCTAGGACCAAGTGAAGTCGCCCAGTTCTAGCATGGTCCCTGCGCTCTTCCTCCTCCCCCTCATTCCTTCGCCCCAGCCCTGGCACAATCATTTGGGAATAGATTTATTTATTACATTGCCTGTGGCTCTGTAGGTGTCAAATAATTATGACGGGAGAAGGTGTTATCCCTATAACAGGCTGAGTTAGAAATAACTCAGTTTATGACAAATAAGACCCAACCAAGAAAGCTGACTCGGAAGTGTGGAAGGCTGTTCACCCTGGGTGCTTCTGCACAGGGATGGACGTGGTCGCTTTGCTCCCTGGGAGCTCCAGGAGGGCTTTTCTGAGATGGTGGTCAGAGTTAATGTTGTGAGCCTCATGGCTGCCGGGCACTGGGGACCCAGCCCTCCTTGCGCCTCATCTCATTTAGTTCTGCCAGATGCCCATGAGGTAGTTTCTCCCTATTTTACAGATGAAGAAATGGAGGCTCAGGGAAGTCTGATCACAAACGCGGGTTAGTCTTAGATCTGGCAAGCCTACCACCCTGCTCCCAGCCTCCGTCCCACCCCACCTGCAGGATGAGTCTGCTGGGGGAGCAGGAGGACCCCTCCTCACCCTCAGTGCAGCCCTGACATGGTGCTGTGCAGCTCGCAGCCTCTCTCAGTTGCTCTTCGGGGAGTTGGTTTTGATTCCTTATCTCTCTCTCCACTTAGTCTAGGGAGCTAAGTACATTTCATTCATTAATAGCTGGCATAGAGCCAAAAATGCAAAATGACATCCCCCCCTTTCCCATAGGCAGTATGTAATTTATGTTTCAATAAGATCATTTGAAAAATGAAGTTTTAGGAATGAAATGCAGCAGCTGTACTGATATCAGCATGAGACACCACCCCAGAGAGTAAAAAGCCACAAAGATTTAGTCTGTTCAGAAGTATGTTTTTTGGAGATAATGACTAATGTTCTGATATGATTAATATGAGAACCATGAGATAGCAAACTGTTAGAGATGGAAACAATCCTCAAGACTGTGGAGTTAGCACCACCATTTCATAGGCAGGAAACCGAACCTGGAGTGGCAGGACATAGCCAGGGGGAGTCAGAACAGAAAAGCAGGGCCTGCAGGTTCCCCGTGTCATGCTGCCCTCAACTGCTGGTCCTTAGTAACCATGATAACCACCAAGGACAGAGATGCCTCACAGTTGGATTTGACAAGGGTCTCCCACTGTCTCTGAAGGGAAGGGCAATGCTGTGAGAGGAACTCAGAACTTCATTGAATTTTACAATCTTGTAGACTTTTTGCTGAAGACAGAGCAAGGACAGTGTGAAGAAGGAAATTGCATGAGCAGCTGTGTGTGTGTGTGTGTGTGTGTGTGTGTAAGAGAGAGAGCGGAGGTTTTCTGTTAAAATCCAATCTTGGATTGGATTGTTGGGTTTTTTGGTTTGTTTTGGTTTGGGTTTTTGCATGGAGTAGTTGAAAAGGGAATCAAGGTTGGTTTATTTCGACTTAACTAAGGAAGGGAGGAAGAAGAAAAAGTTTATTCTGTGAGAGTACCATTAGTGTGAGATGAGTCTGTAATTTCACTCATCTGGCTTTTGCTTCTGGCGCCCTTGCCTAGATGTTCCTGGACACGGATGTTTGAGGTTTCCACTCAGGCAGGCTCAGTCCTTGGGTAGTCACAAAAGGAAAGGGATCAGAGGGGTCTTCTTGAGTGCCTTCAGAAAGCTTGTTTCTCAGACCTCTGGGCTCTTCAAGTCAGGCTCTACCTTCAATTTAGTCATTCACTTTATTATGGCTCTCACCTGGGTAGGGTCAGTGGCCATGCAGCCCTGCAGACAGAGCTAGTGGATCCAGCCCCAAAATCTTCACTATAGCACTCAGGCCCTGCTGCTGGGTTTTGCGGGTGAAACTTGAGGCATCCCTGCAAGAGGAGCCATATGGGCAAATCCCACAGGGGAAAGCTTTCCTGTTGACAACATAGGTTAATAAAAACAATTGCTATAATTCAAGATTATGCTTCAGGGAAAGAAGTATAAGCATTTGGGTTGTTCTCCCACATTTTGATCTTCGTTGACCTCTTACCCCTAGAGCAGAATTAGTCATTCCTTACTCTGGAACTTAGGTAGCTCTTTTCACAGTTGATGCAAGTTTGTGGGGGGTTTCCTCTCCCCTACCTCTCCTCCAGGTAGGAGCAGTCCTGTATTGTTCCTGATGCCTGCACCTCCTTCACTGCCTGGCTCCAGCCTGGGCTGAATCAAGTAGATGAGAAAGGTTGCCCACGTGCCAGATGGTGTCCCTGGTAGTCTGTGGACCTTCAGACACTAGTGGGTGTGTTTCCACATTTCTTCCACTTGTGCTCAGAATCCTTCCATGCAGAAGTGAGACACCCAGAAATCCCAGTGGAACTGGAATCACAATCAACTTTGCCCTCTGCTCACTGGTCATTAAAAACCTTCCCTTTTGCCTACCCGTAAGGCCGTACTTCCTTGGTGCTCTAGGGCCAGCTTATTTGGCAAGAACCGTCTGTATATTGGCTTCACGAGTTCAGCAGAACTTAAGCACCAGATAAATTAGCTAAAAATGAGTAGCGTTCTTAACTTTTTGGAAGGATTGTGCATGGTACCTTCATGCATTGCCTTCCCCACCCATAATACCACTTCTCCTTCAGAATGTTTATGATAATTTACTCATGAAATTTTAGCTCTGTTCACAGATGTTCTATAGTAAACCTGTTGGGGCAGGCAAAGATGTTCTGGAATGCGATGCTTTGGTGGCATCTCAGTGTAATCCTGGAAATCAGGAGAATGGGCGGATCCAGGCCCAGCAGTGACAGGATTCTGTTTGGTCCCTTGGCTTCTTTTCCTGGGAAGGATGGGTGAATAGATCTCATCCTGGTGGAGGACTCTGGGCTTTCTCGGCAGACCGTGGAAGCAGAGGCTCCCCTGCAAGTCCGTGAGGGCCCTCGTTGCCTCCTGCCTGGCTTCTGAGGGCCTGCCTGGGTGGTACAGGCCCGCCTCTGGCCTGCGTAAGGTGCACAGTGCTCCCAGCACACTGTCTAAAGCCTTTCTTCTCCCCGCAGCCAGCATGCCCACCAGCGAGACCGAATCTGTGAACACAGAGAACGTGAGTGGCGAAGGCGAGACCCGAGGCTGCTGTAGACGTCTCTGGTGAGTGTGGAGGCCACTCGCCCCCTTCACCCTCACGTTGTCTGAGAGAAGCAGACGGTGAGGAGGACGCCCCAGATTGTGGTGGAGCCCTCGGGCCACAGCCTTAGGTGCAGGGAGGGTGGGCAGGTTCCCTCTGACCCCTCAGCACCCTGCTCCTGTGCCGGGCCCCTCTGGCACCTGTGTGCCACTTAACCTGGCCACCTGCTGTGTTCGTTAGGTGCTGGTGGAAAAGAAGAGGCGCGACCAAGGCTGGCCCCTCTGGGTGTCGGCGCTGGGGGTAAATGCCCAGTTCTCCTTCAAGTCCGGGTTTGGCATCGTGCTTCTGAAGAAGAGCTTGTGTGGCAGAGTTGCTGACTAGGATGTGCTGTGTTTTAAGTTTTCCTTGGCTCGTGGACCTTCCCACCTTAATCCCTAGCGGCTGGGTGATGAGGCCCTCCTTCCTCTGCTCATGCACTTTCCCTCGGAGCCCTGCACCACCCTCTCCTAGCAGTGGAGATGCCATCCCATTAACACCCACAGGCTTTTTTCTAGAGGGTTTGGGCCACAGCAGCGAGGGGAGCAGCAGTGTGGAAGGTGCCGATACTGCCCGCTTTGGGGGAGCCCCATGCTGTTCTGTTTTGTTTGCTTCCTGCTGGTATCTTTTAGGTTTTATCTCTGTTAAGTATAGGTGTAGTTTCTAAGAGAACTTGATCTTATTCCTGGGAGAGTTTCACGAAAGTGACGTCTCACAGGCAGACTACACAGTTTATGAAGTAGTTTCACCTCTGTTTTCTCGCTCCGCCCTCCCCACGGCATCATGAAGTAGGCAGGGAATGGGTTTGTCTTCCCCGTCCTACAGAGAACACTGAGGCTCAGAAAGGTGTGCTGCTTTCCCAGACTCACCTGGTCAGTGGACAGCAGAGCTAGGACTCCTAGTCCAGTGCTCCTTCTGTGATAGCAGCAGATGCTGCTGTTGAGACAAGAAGCTGAGCTGTGGGCAGGAGAGGCCCTGCTGGCTTCAGTTTGGGGTGATGGGAGGGGAACCCCTGGCTCACTACCTGTTGCAGGATCACTCAGGGAAACTGGCTAAGGGTCTTCTCTAGGCCAGAACCTCGAGGCACCCCGATTTCTGCTCTGCCCTTAACCAGCTGGCCTGCTGTGGTAACCGGAATGCTAAGGCCAGGCTTCTGTGCATGGCTTTCACAATGTCTCAGCTGAAATGGTGGGGCAGTGTGTGCTCAAGCCTTCCAAACAGGAGTCTTAACACTTTTTGTCTTTCTTTCAGTCAAGCCATCTCAAAATCCAAACTCAGGTCAGTATACCTTTTCTATTTTTTGTTTTTTTAGCCTTTGTGTGGTTTATTATGTTTTAACTTCTGACTTTTACATGGTATTGCTCTAGACTTGAGTTTTACTCTGTGGATTATAACATTGGTGTTGAATCAGTCCATTAAACATTACTTGCCTTAGGGGAGCAATGTAGCAGGTATGGAAGATCTCCCCTAAGACACACAAACCAACAAGACAAAATAATGAACATTTTTGTTTGCCTCCCAATCAATCCTTTATCTTCTCTCTGAGTTATTTCTCTGAGAGGTACTTCCTGTCACTTTTCAGCTTGAAAGCTTTCCATAGAAGGGGGTTCAAGAAGGCTTCTAAGGTACTAGTAAGATTCTTTCTTGATCTAGATGCAGGTTGCATGTTCAGTTGTTAAAACTCATTGGACCAGATACCTATGATTGGTGTACTTTTTAATATAAATGTTATTTCTCAATTAAAAGCATTTTACCACTATATACAAACATTAACTTGAAATGAACATAGAACTGAATATGAAATCTAAAACTATAAAAATTTTGGAAGCAAACATAGTAGAAAATCTTTGTGACCTCAGAGTAGGCAAAGATTTCTTAAAATGCAATGTGATACACTGTCCATAACAGAAAAAACTAGTCAGTTGGTCTTCATCAACATTAAAACTTCTGCTCTTCAAAAGAAAATAAAAAGATAAGCTGCAAACTCGGAGAAAAATATTTGCAAACCATATCTGATAAAGAACTGGTATCCAATATATATAAAGAAAAACATAGGATGGTGTCAGTAGTAAGAAAACCCAGTAGAAAACAGGCAAAAGATTTTAACAGGCATGTCACCAACAAAGAGATAAGGATGGCAAATAAGCAAATGAAATGACCATCAGTCATTAGGAAAATGCAAATTAAAATCACAATTAGACACCACTGCACCCCTATTAGAGTGGATCACATTTAAATATCTGACAATACCAAGTTCTCATAAGGATGCCGATCAATGGGCATTTTCATGCAATGCTGGGGGACATGACAGATGACACAGAGTTTTTAAAAAAAAGTTTAGTAGTTTCTTACAAAATTTATATACATATATTTACCATATGGCCCACCAATCCCACTCCTGAGGTATTTATATAAGAGAAACGAAGACATATGCCTACACAAAAAATTTTTACACAAATGTTCATAGCAATTTTATGCATAATTACTCCAAACTGGAAGTAACCCAAGTGTCCATCAAATGGTGAATGGGTAGACAAATCATGGTTCATCCATATGATGGAATACTACTTAGCAGTAAGAAGGAAAAAACTGCTGGTACATGTAACAACACAGACAAATCTCAAAAGTGTTTTTGCTGAGTGAAAGAAGCCAGCCTCAAAAGGCTACATATTTTACGATTCTGTTTATATGACATTCTGGATAAAACAAAACAATAGGGACAGAAAATAGGTCAGTATTTGTCAGGGGCTGGGATGAGGATGGTGAATTAATGAGGAGGGCTGTGAAGGAATTTCTGTGAGTGGTGGAAATATTTTGTATCTTGATTGTATATACCTAAAAAGAGAACATTTTACCATATATAAGTTATATCTCAATAAACCTGACTTTTTAAAAAAATCAGAAGTCCTTCTGTGACTCGCTGCTGTCATATCTTGGCCTCATCTCCTGACACTGCTCCATATTCCTCACCTAAAAAGAGAACATTTTACCATATATAAGTTATATCTCAATAAACCTGACTTTTTAAAATAATCAGAAGTCCTTCTGTGACTCGCTGCTGTCATATCTTGGCCTCATCTCCTGACACTGCTCCATATTCCTTGTTTTGTAGCTATACTAGATTGTTCTCCGTTTTCAAAGGGGCCACATGCTCTATCTCATCCACCTTTGGTCCCTTTGGCCATGCTGTCTCCTCTGGGTGGAGTGGCCTCCCCTCTGCTCCCTGGATAACTCTTGCCAATCAAGACCCAGTCCAAATCTCTGCTTTTTGGAGAAGCCTTCCCTGACGCTTCCAAAGAGTATTTGTGGCTCCCTTCTCCTTGTTCCTGTACCATGGGAACAGCACTTGGTGTGGACTTATAGTTGATATTTATCACAGTCCTGTGTACTTTTCAGGGTCAGGGACCATCTTCTTCATCTCCATCTGCCTGGCACCTTGCACATAGTGCTCAGGAATGCTGGTCTCATGAAAGAACAGGCGTGGTCCCCCAGGCACTCAGATCCCAGCGAGGGCAGGATGCAGAGTGCCGCAGGACTCTAGGGCATAGGACAGTGAGGTTCCTGGATTGAGAGACATTTGGGCCTTGTTGCCTCAGCATGAGATAGACCCACCAAGGCTGGGTCTTGTTCAGGCCACCTTGCTTGTGCGTGCTGAACTGTGCATCTCAGGAGAAACTCAGCTATGAACGGGGCGGTCATTAGTGTCCTTGGTAGAGTTTTCTAGCTGCTGTTTTCAATGGAAACCACACAGCAAGAGCAATGGCAAAACGCACCTTGCTTGAACCAGGTCTTGGTGAAAAGCTGGCACAACTCTTTCTTTGCTTGCTTCCCGGGTTACAGATTTTTTTTTTTTTTTTAGCATGGCAACGCAGCTGAGTCAGCCAGGGCTGCAGCTTGGACAGCCCGGAGACTCCTTGACTCTGGGCCCTGGAGGAAAGGCCCCCATTCCTGGCAGTGGGCAGTACCACCTGGAAAGGACTGTCTTTGCCACTCGGCTGTCTCTGCCCTGGGATCCAGGTCTCTGAGCAGGAACTCGTGGCGCACTGCACTGAATCATCCCCTTGTGTTAGGGAATGTTGTCCGTAGGGAGACAGGCTAAGGGAGAGAAGATTTTCCCTCATTGCACACAGAAACTGAAGGTGGGCGGAGGACATGCTACTTGCCTGTTTGGCTCAGCTCATTTTATTTTTATGAAAACACGATTCAATATTGGCTCTTCTCCTGAAGGTATATTTTGAGCATCACTAGTGAGAAAGGGCACCTGATGACTCAGTATGAAGACTCATGTCCTACTCAGCTTTGACAACTCTGCCAGGCTGAGGAGGAACCTCAAAGGCTTAAAGGATTGAAAGATTCCCTAAAAAGAAAACAGTGGTCTTGGAGCACTTTGCTGCCTCATAAATTCTGTATGATGATCGAGATGCTGTGAAAGAGGTGTATAATAAGCTCAGGGTGCTCTGCACCAGTAGGGTGAACAGATCCACCTGCCATATGGTGGGCACATGAACTACATGTGTGTGCGAGTACTGTTTTGCATCTGCACATGAATCTATGAATATCTAGATTTTCTCGTCTGTTTGAGGGCTGCATATGACAGGTTCTGGAGCTATCTAAAGCTGTGCAAAAGAAACTGATAGCATGATCAAGTCAAGATTATACTTTTAAAAGTTGTATTTTAAGAACAACATAATTTATATTATGAGGCCTGTTAATTTTTACGCTATTTGTTCTCTTTCCTTCTTGCACCCCCGCCCCACCCTGGACCTCCAGAATGAAAACCAAATTATTTCTTAATAATGTTTATTGGACACTCATGCTGTATCTGTCATCCAAGGAGTAATGTTTGTTTGTCTTTCAGCCGACGCTGGCGTCGCTGGAACCGATTCAATCGCAGAAGATGTAGGGCTGCCGTGAAGTCTGTCACGTTTTACTGGCTGGTTATTGTCCTGGTGTTTCTCAACACCTTAACCATTTCCTCTGAGCATTATAATCAGCCAGACTGGTTGACACAGATTCAAGGTACAAGCAGAGGCCGTTGTTTTGTGTTCTGAATTAGATATTCCTATAGCTGTCCAGCTGCTGTTTAGTCTTATTTGATCAATGTGTAATGAGGTATAGGAACATTTCTAGTGAGGACTAACCAGGAACATGGTAGAACCATCCAGACACAGGCCAGCACTGGAGTGGGGTGCATCCTGTGCTGTGTGGGGCAGCACCTGGAAGCTGATTAATACCAAGTATCCATCCCATTGTCGCAACCCCGAGACAACCTAGGATCAAGGAATCCTGGAGTGGGAGGGAACCTCATAATCCCTTCTCCCTGCCCCCAGAATATCTGTGGCAAGTGGTTTTGTTCTCTTGCTTTGAATGCCCCTGCAGTGGGGTGCGGGGGAGCTCGTCCCCAGAGACAGCCTGTTTTGACAGTTCTAAGCTACTGAGAAGTCCTTCCTCACATCACATCAAATGTTTCCTTCTACCTCTCCAGCCTGCTTGGTGGTATTTTCTGATGTTAGAAATGACAATGGTAGGTGACCACTTCTGATATCATAGTGTCATAAGCAAGACCAGACAGGTCATTTTGTGTGTGACTGAAAGAAAACAATATATGTGATGGTCTAAATGCAGAGTTGTAGGCTTTTACTGCTGGAAAGCTTCAGAGATTATGTGATAAGCTGCCCCTCCCGATTTTTTAGTCGATGAAACTGAGACCCGGAAATGTGATGGTCTAAATGCAGAGTTGTAGGCTTTTACTGCTGGAAAGCTTCAGAGATTATGTGGTAAGCTGCCCCTCCCGATTTTTTAGTCGATGAAACTGAGACCCGGAAAGATCAAGTAACTTCTCCAGAGTTGTACGCTTAGATAGCAGCAGATGCAGGACCAGAGCCTGGCAGACAAGCAGGCCATAGATATTAAGGCCACATTTCTGTGTGGGTGCAAAGCAAAGAGAGGGACAAGGTATTGGTATGTTTCCTGCGGGGAATGGTGGGGAGGGAGGGGTGAGGAGACAAAAGGAGTCGGAGTGTTTCCCATAAGATCCCAAGGACAGGCGCCCCTTTGTCTTTCCAGATATCGCTAACAAAGTCCTCTTGGCTCTGTTCACCTGTGAGATGCTGGTAAAAATGTACAGCTTGGGTCTGCAGGCATATTTCGTCTCTCTTTTCAACCGGTTTGATTGCTTCGTGGTGTGTGGTGGAATTACTGAGACGATCTTGGTGGAACTGGAAATCATGTCTCCACTGGGGATCTCTGTGTTTCGGTGTGTGCGCCTCTTACGCATCTTCAAGGTGACCAGGTGAGGAAATGTGTCTCACTGCAGGTGCTTTATGAACACGAGGTGGTGATCAGGCACGTTTCTGGGCAGGTGACATTCTGCTCATCCTGCATGGGTATTGGGCTCACAGCCTCATCTTGACTTGCAGGCACTGGACTTCCCTGAGCAACCTCGTGGCGTCCTTGTTGAACTCCATGAAGTCCATTGCTTCACTGCTGCTTCTGCTTTTTCTCTTCATTATCATCTTTTCCTTGCTTGGGATGCAGCTATTTGGCGGCAAGTTTAATTTTGATGAAACGCAAACCAAGAGGAGCACCTTTGACAATTTCCCTCAAGCACTGCTGACCGTATTCCAGGTGAGTCCTCCCTCCAGCCTGTCCCCAAAAAGCCTGTGTGAGCAGCTGCTAAACCTCCTCTGACTTCCTCTTTGCTCACAGTTCAGTACGACAAAAGGATTCCATTCTTATTTTTAATCCCTGTCCCAATAACACCCTGGTAAATATTGTGCCATTTATGTTATTTTTTTGCATCATCCTCTAGCTATCTAAATGATGTGATTTAATGTCATTTTTTTAAGACTACTAGCTATATTACAGAATAATAACCCGTGCCATTTATGTTATTTTTTTGCATCATCCTCTAGCTATCTAAATGATGTGATTTAATGTCGTTTTTTTAAGACTACTAGCTATATTACAGAATAATAAACTCCCAATTTTTTTGTTTAATTTTGTGACATTTCTGAGAAATAGACTCTAAAATCCTCTTGTTTGCTAGTTTTTGATTGCAGGCAAGTTTATAATCCTAGTTATAACAGACTTATGAAAAGTGAATTCTAAAGCCCCAATGCATTGCTGTGTAGTTGGAGTTGAAGCAATAATAGTTGTATAGCCTTCTGTCCCTTTCTGCCCTTCCTCTGTGATGCAGTGAGGGCACACACATTCTGAGTATATCTGTGCCACTGGGACCTCTGTGGGCACTGGTCTGGCAAGGGAGCCATCGTGTCCAAGAGACACAGGTGGCTCTGCCACTCAGAGCAGTAGCACATTCTCCATGTCCCTTGACCGTAAGCTGCGGTGTTCTAAACCCCCTGCCTTGGACAGAGCCTGGCCAATGAGTTTAAAAGCCTTACCTGCCCTGATCGCTTTTCAGATGCTACATCAGTATCAGAGCACTGCCAGAGAGGCAGGTGGGTATTGTGGAAGGATAGTGGCAGATAGGGCCCCTGGTGGCTCTTGCCCTGCCCTGCTCAGTTATTGTGGACAAATCACTTACCCTTTTCTGAAGAAACACCAAGATCAGAGGGAATGATCTTTGTGATCCTTTTGCACTTGGTCATTTTGAGGTGTGTAGAATTACTGTTATAGGCCATGGTTTTATTGTTTGAACTACACTTAAATTTTGGCCGCTGGTTAGTCACTCTTTAAATCTCTTTCAAAGAAACCTGGTTGGTTTTTTTGTTTGTTTGTTTTGTTTTTTTGATAATGCATGCATATGGCACAAAATTCAAATGTTACCAAAGGATATAAAATGACAATTTTCCCACCCGGACACTAATGTCCTCTTCTAGGAGGCAGCCACTGCTAGACAGTTTCTTGTGTATTCTTAAATATATACTTGCTCATAGATGTAAATCAACTAATCTACCTCCCTACCTGCCTACAGATGATTGTACAGATGAATGTAGCTCACTCCGCATGCTGTTTTGCATCTTGCTCTTGTCACTTAAAGTGTCCTCAAGAGCCTTCCTGCTTGGTTCATAAAAGGTCGCCACCTCATTTTAAATGCTGCGTGAGCTCTGTGGTGCGATGTACCATAGTTTATGTGACCAGTCCCTTGCTGATGAACATTTAGTTGTGTCCAGTCTTGGCTCATATAAACAGGGTTCCAAGGGGGGACCTTGGACATACTTCACGGGACACATACATGAGAGTGGATCTGCAGGACAAATTCTCGGAAGGAGAATTGATGGTGAAGGGCATGTCTGTTTTAAATGTTGCTGCCCTTGCCAAAGTGCTCCCTGTATGGTTGTGTAAATTCATCACCCACCAGCAGTGCAGAGACTGCCTGTTGCCTTTTTACCTTGGCAGGTGTTCCAACTTGTTGATGCCTGTCTGACTGGGGTGAGATGGTATCTCAGTGTAGTTTTGATTTACATTTCCTGGATGCTGAGTGATGTTGAGCATTTTTTCATATGTCTGTTGGCCATTTGTATATCTTCCTTAGAGAAGTGCCTACTTAGCTCTTTTGCCCATTTTGAGGTGCTTGAACTTTTTGAATGAATTCCAGGGAACACCACTGTTTGGGAGAGTCCGGGTAAAGTCTCTAAATGCATAGGTTTTTGTTCTTGGAAACCATCTGTTACCAGCTTGTAAGATCTTCCTGTGGTTTATTACTCTGGATTTGATTTCCACTGTCCAAAAGAGTTTAATGTCATTGCAAGGCTAGAAAGATCTGTATTTCATGCTCATCATCACCCCGTGCCCATCAGAGGAGTGCTCATTGTACCAAGCCATCTCCAGCCTAGGACAGATTGCTCCCTTGGGCCCATTGCAGCTCCAGATCAAAACTGGCTAGCATGTCAAAGGCGTTTTGAAAGTCTTAATATAATTCACTCACATTTCTATTCTCTTTAAATCGTTGAATAGAATTAGTCAGGCGTGGTATTTGCTCACAGAGATCTCATCATGAATCCCTTGTTAGGTTAAGTTGGTTTACGTGTTCAGCAACTCACCCAAGATTTCAGATTGCACAAGGCATGACACGGGGCCATCATGTGTTGCTCCTGTCCCTGGGCAACCAGAGTTTTGACTACAGATGGCCGGGTGTCAGGCAGAGAGAAGTATTTGTCACAGGAGGGAGACCTTCTCATTTATTGCCCTCTGATCACTGTGCTTCTCAAAAATGGACTTACCACTAGTGCATAAGAAACAGGCATCTTCTGATTTGGGAGCCTTGTTCAGAATACTTAAAAAAAAAAATTCAAGGAGACCAAGTATACAACATTATACTGAGTCAAAAAACACCTGGTGACTTGTTCAATCACCTAACTTTTTACTATTTGCAAAAATCCAGTTCAACCACAGTAATCAAAGGTCTAGCCACAGTGGGACTATTCAGAAGAATAGTCCAGCACTGTCTGGCAGTAAGTCAGGCAGATATTAGACAGTCAGTGTTTGTGGAGTGAGGGAATGAATGAGTTATCTGAAGACTGCAAAGGCCATTTCAGAGGAGAGAGTCTCATACTGTCTTGTGCAGTAGGATCATGTATGAGTAATGTGCAGCCTCTGCAGGGGTCTGTTTTGAAAAGTGCTGGATATGTATGTTATGCTGTGTGTTTTAAAAGAAACAGCAAAACATTCAAAGCACTTTTTAATTACACCATATTTATGTTACAGACTGTTTTATGCAATGTATATAGTAGTTGTAGATACATAGATATATGGACACACACACACACAGAGAAATATTGAAGTTAGTAAATTTTCATGGGTTTAGTGAATCTTAAGTTTACTTCTTTCCAGGCCATCTTCTACAGGTTTCTAGTTTTTTTTTTTTTTTTTTTTTTTTTTTTTGAAATACAGAGCTCTGGTCCTCTGGTTTTACCAAGTGAATATAGCACTAGGAACAATCTAGGGACATTCACCTGCTACCAGCCTCCCAGATGCAGAGGGGTATGACATTGCTGTTGTTGACCATACATAGTTGCATTTAGAAATGTGTTGTACCCTGTTGCTGAGTAATAGTCCATTATATGGCTCTACCATTTTGATATCCAGTCATCAACTGATGGGCTTTTGGGTTTTCTAGTTTTCGTGTATTGTGAATAATGCTGCATTCTTGTCAGCTCTTGTTACTGTCTGTGTTTTTGAGTATAGCCATCGTAATTAATATGATGTGTTATCTCCTTTTCCTAATGGCTAATAATGTTGAGCATCTTTTCATACTCTTACTGGTTGTTTGCATAACTTCTTTGGAGAAATGTCTATTAAAATTCTTTCCCATTTTAAAATTTTGTTATTTATCTTGTATTATTGAGTTGCAAGGGTTCTTTATATATTCTAGATACAAGTGTTTCATAAATATATAATTTCACATGGTTTTCTTGCAAAAAAAAAGAAAAAAAGAAATGTGTTGTACCCTTAAAATTTTCAAATTAGATATTCTACTGAATGTCTTCTTGGCCATCGCTGTAGACAATTTGGCTGATGCTGAAAGTTTGAACACTGCTCAGAAAGAGGAAGCCGAAGAAAAGGAAAGGAAAAAGATTGCCAGGTAACTCTGTTTTCACCTGGGGTGTTTGCTTGGGGGACTGCTTGGGGAGCCCCGTCACAGGTGAGGCCTGGCAGACTCACACATGCTTCACATAGCTGCAGCCCCAGGTTGCTGCTTTGCAGTGGTTGTGAGTGACCATGTGGCACATACCAAAAGGGGCGGAATTTTGGACAGAAGCCTGTTCCTTGCTCTCATCCCTCAGAGCAGAGAGTGGGAGTCACACATCTCTGTGCTTAAAGAATTGCTTCTGTTAACTTTGGTGTCATAAAATAAATGATGCATTCAATGCTGATTAGCTGTTGGATGAAAATTTTAATAAGAACTGTGTAATGAGTTCATTACACTGAGATTAACAGGAAGCTCTGAATTTGGGTTCTGCTGTGTTCTTGCTGTTAGTGTTGTTTCAAATTAAATTCTGTCCTTCACTGGGACACTGTCGATTCAGAATCCCTATTAGCATTTTTATACGTAGTAATATGGCTATTTGGTTTTTTGTGTTCTTTTTTCTGTAGAAAAGAGAGCCTAGAAAATAAAAAGAACCACAAACCAGAAGTCAACCAGATAGCCAACAGTGACAACAAGGTATTTGTTCTAACATACTTCTCCCTTTTTTGCTTCAAATGGTTTTGTTGGTATCTCCATAAATATACCATTTATACTGTGAAACTGTCTGTGTATCACCCCTGTGTAGTATTTTGGTGTGGAGAGTATAGCACACCATATAAATGCTGGCTTCCCAGGTGTGAGGGGATTCTGATTGGATTTAGGCAATTGGCTGGCTCTTAACCAGTATTTTACCAGAGAGCCAATATGATAAATATTTGACTGGTTTGACCACTTATATTTTCTTTATCGGAAATTGTGTGGTCAGACCTGAGCTGTTTTCAAGATCATGTTAGCATCTTCTGTGTGATTATTAAAATCAGGGATTTTTAATAGATGTCTATTCCCAGAGGTAATCCCAGGATCAGGTGGTCTGGGTGTCCTCAGGGCTACACTGTCAAACTTCTCGCTTATGACAGCTCTGGATCTTTCCTTCATTTGTTCGTTCATTGAGTTGGTAAATACTTACCGAGTGGCTATCATGTATCAGACACTGAGGATTCAGAAATGAAGAGGACTGACAAGGGCCAGCCTTCGTGGAGCTCACAGTCTAGTAGGAAGACAGTGTCTCAGATGCAGTTGTCATACAGTGCTGTGGCTATGCTGGGATAGGGAAAGGATGGAGCCATGGACCACCTTCGTGGAGCTCACAGTCTAGTAGGAAGACAGTGTCTCAGATGCAGTTGTCATACAGTGCCGTGGCTATGCTGGGATAGGGAAAGGATGGAGCCATGGACCATGTCTGTGAACCACGACTAGGTGGGGTTATACCAGCTTTCTCCTCATCTACCCTTGGACCTTCTGTCTGAAGCAGAATCACCATCTGGGGACATCTGCCTGTCCCTACACCCTCACTCACACACAGACACACCCCCTGGAGAGAAATTCCATGCCCGTGCTGAACGGCAGGGTGGACGCTTGGCCCTGTGAAGTGCATTTATGTAAGTCCCCACTCCTCTCTAGATGTCTCTGTCATCCTAGGTTATGATTGACGACTATCGGGAAGAGGATGAAGACAAGGACCCCTACCCACCTTGCGATGTGCCAGGTATGGAAGTGGAAGCCAGAGGTGGGCTCTCAGCTCATGAGCAATTGGCTTTTCTGCCACTTGGGGACCAGCTGCCAAGTCTGTAGCTGGCTAGCCCAGCCAGGGTGCACACTGGGCTGCTGAGGCCACTGAGGCCATGGGTCCAGTAGCCTTGTGGACCAGTTAGCTCCACTTTTCCCATGTTCACAGGCAGCATACATAAGGTGGTAGAGAGGGAGGGTATGAGCGGATCAGGGCAGGACCAACCTTTGCTGGGAAAACTCTCCAGGAGACGACTAGTTGTTAGCACTCACCTGACACTACTCCATTTGACTGGCACCTTTACTGGCTGATGTAGGTGGAGCTGTGGAGTTGGGGATCCTGGGGGCTGATTGTGTGTCACTTGAAGTCCACACATGGTTATTTGGAGAATGGCAGTTAGAATCCCGCTGTCACCCCCTCTTATCTGTGGTCAGACCTTAGCCTGGTGGGAACCTCATTTCCACAATGAACACAGTCACCAGATGTGACATTTCCCAGCCCCCATGCACACACGGTCCATATTGTGAAGGAGAGGGAGGGTTTTGATCTGTGTAAGTAAGTAGATGTTAAAGTATAAGCCAAATTTTTTTTAACTTCTCTATAAGCCAAATTTTAATGTGAAATTAAGAACAATAATTCAAACCCATATGTGGTCTTTATTTCATGCCTATAAAAAAGTGTTTTATTTAAAGTAGGTGAAGAGGAAGAGGAGGAGGAAGAAGACGAACCTGAGGTTCCTGCTGGTCCCCGTCCTCGCAGAATCTCGGAGTTGAACATGAAGGAGAAAATCGCCCCCATCCCTGAAGGGAGTGCATTCTTCATTCTTAGCAAGACTAACCCGTAAATACCCTTTCTAGTTCCATCACTGCTGTGTCTTGCCAGTGACCCTGCAGGTTGCTTGTAGGTGGCTGGGGATGGAGTGATGGAAAGTGGTTCATAGCCACCTTCTGAACCTGAGTGTCTCTGGAGTCACCCAAGTCCCTTCTGACCCCTCTCCCGCCCCATTCTTGCCTTTGTCCTCAGTTTATCTCTTCTTGGCCTTCTCATTCCTGTAAGGGTGTGACCAGGTCCTGGGAGGAGCAGCCTTCTAGATTCTCCTCTCCCCTCCCCCCTGCATAGGGATAGCAATGGGGAATGCCTTGCCCTCACCCTCACCAAGACATTCCAGCTGGAGCCCACTGCTCTGGTGTTCCATGCATTGGCCACCCATAGGACCCTTTCTTACCAAGCGGATCTTCTGCTCAGACACTTTGTGGGATGAGAATTTTGTGACCAAGTTCTGCATAGCATCTTTATCCTGAGATCCCGTCTAGTTAATCATTTTTCCCTATTGAGTTTTATGATGTTGCACGATGGCACAGTATTCACAGTGATATTTTATAGGTTGTAGGTATCATTTCAGCTCTATGATATTCTGCTTAAAATGGCATTTCTTGTGTTAAAATAAGGTGCTCACCAGGAACATGGTAATACCTCACGAGTACTGTAAGAGGAATAAGTTTATTTGCTAGCTGCTGTCTAGGTTTTAAATTATCTGGGATTGAGTGAAATGCCACGGAGAGTAAATGGCACCCGGAAAGGTTTCTAGAATTGCAGAAGTAGTTCTTGTCTGTCAGAGAAGAACTCTATATAATTCACAGGCCCTAGGGAGACGCAGGTGAGAAGCAAGGCATGCTGGAGTCCTTAGAGACGTGAAGATTTGATGATAGTTTTTATAGCTCATCACTGTTTGGATGTCCTTAAAAAAAAAGTTATTAGATTGACATCACTGACGTCTATGGCTCACTGTATACACATACGTTGAAGGAATGGATCGATTTTCCCATAGAACTGTGAGTACCCCTGCCCTCCCTGCCTTGGAAGGTCTTCACCAGACTCACCTAACAACTTGCATGCCCTCTGGGGATAAATCCAGCATTAAGCAGCCCCAAAGGGAGGACTTGAAGTCAGCGATCACCTTCATATAAAGTTGACTCCAGTTTTGAAAGCAAAAACATATTTTCAAAGGAAAACCTATTGGCATTTCATAGGCAAAAACACCAAAAAAAAAAAAAAAAAGAAAAGAAAAGAAAAGAAAAATAACCCCACAACTTTAAATTCTAAAGTCAAATATTGAGGGTAAATCTTATCCATTGCTAAATAGCCCATGGCCCATCAGGGCAGCAGGTGAGGTTCTGATAGCCCAGGGAGCCCTCGGCAGTGCCCAAGCCTGTGGTGCCAGACACAGCTGCCCTGCCTTCATGGGACACAGGACTCAGTGAACACTCTGTCCCATGCTGCCGTGGTAGCAAACGATGTCACTTTCACTTTACTTCTAAGGACTCCTTTTTGTGGGCCAACTCCAAAATTTAAAAAAAAATAACATTTATGACAAAATCTCCAGACTACAGGAGATTTCACCAAGGCTCACTTACTGCAGGTCATATTTTAATACAGATCCCTGCCTGCAGTACAAGAAGGGGATTCATCTTATTCTTTATTTTGAAATAAAAACTTTAGACAAATTAAATTTAACTGTATTTAATTGAGCAAAGAACAATTCATGAATCAGGCATGTGGGCCGGCAGCATTTATGGACAGATAAGGGAAACGAGGAATAGAAATAGCTGGATTGGTGATAGCTTGCACCTGCCTTATTTTACGGTCTGATCAGTTGGCTGCCTGTGATTGACTAAAGCTCAGCTGCTGTGATTGCTGAGACTCAGGTATTTGTTACAAAAGTATACTTCTAAGTTAGGCTTTCGGTTAGTTTACATACTAAGTTAGGTTGTAGTTTGTTATGTAGGGACTCAAGGTACAGAGGCATTCTCAGGCCAATTCTCACTATGAGCGGCCACACCCTCGGGCTCCGGGCTCCGTCTGGGACTGTGTCCATGCGGTGGCTTTTCCCCACAGGATCCGCGTGGGCTGCCACAAGCTCATCAACCATCATGTCTTCACCAACCTCATCCTGGTCTTCATCATGCTGAGCAGCGCTGCCCTCGCCGCCGAGGACCCCATCCGCAGCCACTCCTTCCGGAACACTGTAAGCCCCTGAGAGAGGAGAGGGGGGCGGGGCTCCCTTTGGGACTGTGCTAGTGTCTCTCAGGCAGTCTGTCATGGAGACGAGGCCTGCAGAGGCCCCTTGCTTAACTGGAAATGTTTCCACTCTGTGAGTGCCAGAGAGCTTCTTGTCTGGACATATCTTAATGGAATCATAGATTCTGAACTTCATTTTAAACACTCTGCAGTAAATTCTCATGTGTCCAGGGACCCTGCTGTGTGTCCTCTTTGCACCTGGCAGCTGCTATTTTGGTCCCTCTTTTCCCCTCTGCAGTCAGATTCACATCCACACTCGTGGAGCACACAGCAGCAAGAAAGTCAGGTTGAAACCAAGCATGCCCCAAGCCCAGGAGCTCTTACTTAGGGTTAGTGGGGAAGATTTCTATCTGATGTAGACTTAATACACAGAGCTGCTTGTCTCCATCACAAGTTAGGGAAATGATGGGGTGTCACGTTGAAGGATTCAGTGGAGAGGAAGACTCTAGGTTCTGGTGTGGCAGGAGGTGGTTATACTAAGAAAACAAGTAGAGAGTTAAGTTTTCTGTTATTCATCAGCTTTGTAACTTAAGGATAGTGCCCTCCCACTGCGTCTGTGCTGGAAAGAAACGTGTACCTAAGTTAGTTCTGGCCTCTGCAGCCCCATCTCCACAGTGCAGCTAATTCAGCCCTGAGGACAATCCAAAGGTGAGACAGCTTCAGAGAACCAGTAGCCTATTGACTCTCAGGCCAAGATACTGAATGCAGTTTCTTTCAGGTTGTTTTCCAGAAACCTCCCAGGAGAGGGAGGCCAGCTAGTGTGCAAGGCCATCGGGTGTCAATGCCTTGCCTGGCTGGTGCCTCTTTCTGTGCATCAGATTGTGAGATTTTAGGAGGAAGACATATCAGCAGATCAGTGCTACAGGATTCTGTCATGACAACCAAGCCCTCGTGCTGTTTTTCTCTATCTCCAGTGTCTGGCAAACCCAGTCTATCAGATTGATAAAACATGTCCTCTTAGAAGATAGGAAGCATGCTCCCCTGAGGCACGTGTTGCTGTCATGTAAAGATGAAGGCACTGAGCCTGCCTTAATCTGTCCTCACAGATAAGGGCTTTTGTTAGAGAATCACAAGGCTTTCTATCTAGACATTCAAATGAAATAAAACCCCCTGTGTCACTGAGTTCCATCATAAAAACAAGACACAAAGGGGAAAAGGTGTTTGGAAAAAAACATCATTGCATCTAATGGCTATCGTTACAAGACAGACTAGGTCAGGAGCTAGTCTAGAATGCAGACTGGCAAGGAGTTAATTTACATGGGGCCTTCATGATCTTGTTTCTTATTGTAATCATGCCTCCATGAGTTTATTTCCCTGCCGCTTTCCCAAAAATGTTATTGTTCTTTTTTAAATAGCTATACATATGTATATTGCCTTTAAATTACTGCAGTGTTTTGTTTTGTGATTTTTAACCTTAGCTGAATTCCTAGTGAAAAAGAAAATGAAATCTGAATAAAGAAAGAATGACTTAAATCTAAGAACTTTGGCCCCTGGGCACCAGGTTGACTTGTAAACATCAGTGTAGTTCCTGGCTATCAGGAGCTTTTGACATTAATATCCCTGCTGTTACCTAGGAGGGAATAAGGAGAAAGTGGCAGGGGCCTGGTAGTATACTGGAAAATACTTTCCATTTTCTGGCCAAGAAACACAATTTTACAGAAGTGTTCCAGCAGAATTCATAAATCCAAAAAAACAAGATTTGGAAAAGGAATACCTCTGAAGAGAGAGCTTCATCTGGGGATAGCTGGGCTTGAAGCACAGGTCCTCACCTTATTGGGACAGAGCAGTAAAATGTTCCCCTGAGGTGGATCCTGTCCTTAAACAACACAGCCCTGTGGCTCTCCACTAGCATCTGACAGGCCATCTCCTTGCTCAGCAGGGCCGGGGACTGGCCGTGTAGCCTGAGCAGGTGCTCTCCCACCCTATTCCCAGCATGCACATCTGTTAAATGAAAGGGGTAGGCGTGTATGGTCTCCCCAGTCCCTTCGAACTCTGGTCTCTTCAGTTCTTTCAAACCATAGAGCACAGTTGTTGTGAAGATCGGCAGCCAAGACGATCTCATCTACTGGTGGAGTCTTGCCTGCTGTCTTTGCGGTGGAGGGTGCTGTGCTCAGTAGTTGACCGTGAGCAGCCTTACTGGAGTGGTCAGACTTCTTGCTGCTGACAACTTGCTCTGCCCCTCTGCCCCCATGGCTGTGTGGAGAAGCAGGGACCTCACAAGGGGCTAGCAGGGCCCAGTTGGTTGAAATAGACGGTATTTTCAGCAATGCTGGTTGGGTGGCCTGGACTGAAAATTCAAAGCCCAAGACAGTCTGTTCTTTGAGTGGGCCCAGCAAGGTTTTAAAAAAAAAAAAATCAGGATTCGGAGAGAGCCGTGTCAGATGCAGAGCAACAGGCAGGAGGAAGACAGTAAGTAAGACAATTCCTTGCAGACTTAGCCAGCTAGCACAGTGCTGGGGGAAGGGTGTTGACTCCCTGATTAGATAGGCTGGAATGTGAGCGGACATGTGTAAGCTTCCGGCTCTGTTTGATGCCACTAGCATCTTTATTTACATTTCTCCACCAGTCTGAAGCTCATCTGGATGGCAACATCCTTCATTCAGCCAAAAACGCAGTTAAAAATCTAAAATGTGGGCTCTCATTTATCTGGTGCCCCAAGTATTTTGTAGATGGAGTGCTCTGGTGAGAAAAGGATGTTATTAAATCACTTTTTGAAATGAGCCTCTGTCTGTTGAAGACAGGAGACTGAGTAGCCGGTCTGCATGAGTGGTTGAAAGAGACAAGGATTCCCAGACACCCCTTGTTGGCTGTAAGAGGAGCTGTAACTGGACAGTGCTCTGGTGAGAAAAGGATGTTATTAAATCACTTTTTGAAATGAGCCTCTGTCTGTTGAAGACACGAGACTGAGTAGCCAGTCTGCATGAGTGGTTGAAAGAGACAAGGATTCCCAGACACCCCTTGTTGGCTGTAAGAGGAGCTGTAACTGGACAGTGGTGGGCGTCTCTGAGCAGCTCTGCACTTGCCTCCAGAACAGCAGGGTTATCCTGGGGAAATGGGTCTCTGGGTTCATGGGGGAGTTCATTCCGTGGGCGTGTGGCTGTTGGGGCTCGTCTGGATGCTGCCTTCTCATTTCCACATGTTGTGCCTTGCAGATACTGGGTTACTTTGACTATGCTTTCACAGCCATCTTTACTGTTGAAATCCTGTTAAAGGTAATGGCTTTTTCATTGATCCTCAGTACTCTAAAGCAGCCGTAGCTATAATAGTTGCAATTCTTTGTTTGCCTTCCAGATGCTAGGTTACGCAGATTATGTCTTCACTGGTACTTTTGCATTTGAGATCGTTTTGAAGGTAACAGGTTACCCAGCAGTGTGTTTAAGGGCCTGCTCCTGTGTGTGAGGCACAGGAAAGAAGCGTGAAGTGCTTTTGACTTTTTATTTTTTTGTCTTCTGTGATCAAGCTAAACTTTTTTCTTTTTTAACCAAAGGATTTTTTTTCCTGTGACCATTCCGATTTGTTTTTGCTGTTTCTTTTTAACCTTTGAATGCATGTAGGCGCTACTTTGACTTTATGATAGTGGTTGATAATTATATTTTGCTCCTTTTTTAAAAGAACATCTTCTGAAATTTGTTAACTAATAACAAGTACATTACTATGTGTGAACTTTCTTCTACCCTTTCTGACATCACAGAGGAAAAGCATTTATCCTATGAAGGGAATGTCTCCTCATTTCTCTGACTGCATTATGCTTTCAGAGGCCTAAAATAGTAACACTATTTTCTTGCAACAGGATTTGCAAGATAATGTGAGTCTATTTGTGTTAAGATATTTTCTATCTGTTTTATGGATGGGCTTACATTTACACAAAGGAGCACCCTCTGGACAGGGCGACCTAAATGTACTGCCCATGCATGAGCTAACAGTTGCCATTGCTGCATGTGTTTGTGTCCTGACTGCGAAGGCCCCCCCTGGGGAGCGCATTCCCTACTCCCTCAGAGGCCTGGAGACCAGTGGCAGAATGCTGAGGCCCCTACTCAAGACCTGCAAGGAACTGGTTCTGGGAGAGGGTAGCCTGTGAGAACTGTCAAAGCAGCCATCCCTTAGCAGGGAGACAAGCTGAGAAATGAAGACTTTTAACCACAATTTTCTTTAGACCATTTTGGGGTTTTGGAAAACTGTATTTTGTGTTGGACCGCTGTCGAACTTGGGCTCTTTACAAAATTTTCTATAAGGTGAAACCTCAATTAACGTGGCCAGGGAATGGGGTATTTAGTTTTCTTTGGTTTGTTTTTTTGGTGATGGTTATTAAAACAGTAGCGCAAAACCAACCAACCAACATCTGTTTAAACCTTAGTTAAAAGTCTAGAAATTTGAGTTTGTTTTCCTGGGTTGAAGCTAGTGAATTTGGGTGACAGTCCTCTCCTAAGTAGAGCTGGGCAGTGGGAGGTGACCAGATCCTGACAAGGCCCTCCTTGGTAAGGATGGGGATGCAGAGTGAATGGTGAGGGGTGGAGAAGTTGGGGGGGGTGCCAGTACCCTCACTGGCCTTTGCTCCTGCCCAGATGCTTGTTTTTTTTATCTGCCTTCTCTTCCTCAAGCTCAATGGGGAAATGTTCTACTTAGTGCGTTAGCCTGGTTAACTGAAGTTTTGTTTTACTTTCCACTTTTTAAGTTGTTAAAGGAATATAGTTACTCTTGGGCCTTGGGGAATATGAGATACAGGGTTATTTAAAAGGGAAAAGAATGATTGTTGTTTTTAAATTTCTGTAGATTTAGCTCAATGACACATTTTCTCAGTCATTTTAGACAACGAAAAACAAGGATTCAGAAAACGGAGATTCACCCAGAAGTTTCTAACATCTGAAAGGGTGGTTCCTGGTGGCCTTGGGGAGATTTGGAAAGCTATTTGGTTATTCGGCTAAACCCAATGAAATTGCCATTTTTGTAGTTCAGCACGGGTTGAATATTGGCAATGTCATAAGGCTTAGTGTAATATTTCCCAACTGTGCCTCTCCTCCACTAATTTGAGCCTTCCCGCCACCTTTTCTAGTTTTTTTTTAAAGATGAATAGTAAACTACATGTTTTGCTGTTTTTATTCTGAGGAACTTCCTTACTAAACTCTTTCTCCATCACCAGTAGGCACCTCACTGGAACACCCATAGTGTGTGCTCCAGGTGCACGTGGCATGTGACGAGAAAGCATGAGACTGACTTAGGTGAGAGGCTGAATGACAGCTTCCCAGCCTAACCTCACACATGCTGGAGTAGCTGGGCTGGCAGGAGCCATTCAGGATGGACGTAGCCTTGGAGACCCTTAGAGGTAGTGAGGGGCCTACGTGGAAAAGTGATGCAAATTTCTACATGACTAGAGCCTGCGAGCATCCTTCACTTTTTTCTAGCCCCCACTGGGAAGGCTGAATTGGAACAATGAAGGCTCTCCTGGAGCTCCCCCACCCCCAGAGGCCAGAACCAGCACCTCGTGGGGAAGTACAGCTGTCTGGGCAGGCAGTGATTACAACCTGATAAGCAATCGTGTGGGCGCTCTCCTGAGACAGACTCTCTGGACATGCCAATTTTCTTAATTGGTCTCTTCTTTTAAAATAAACCAGCACCTCGTGGGGAAGTACAGCTGTCTGGGCAGGCAGTGATTACAACCTGATAAGCAGTCGTGTGGGCGCTCTCCTGAGACAGACTCTCTGGACATGCCAATTTTCTTAATTGGTCTCTTCTTTTAAAATGTATCTGAAATAAGCTACCCCTTTGCATTTTTGTTTGAACAGATTGTTTTGTTGCTCAGCCCCATTGGTTTACATTTCTGGCTTCCTCACATACACTTGTCAATCAAGTTACACTTTCCTCAAGATTTTGTGAAGAGCCCAGGTTTCTTTTCCAATAGAGAGGGAAAAACCAGTAAATCACCCATGATTCTGCTTATAGATGACGACTTTTGGAGCTTTCCTCCACAAAGGAGCTTTCTGCAGGAACTACTTCAATTTGCTGGACATGCTGGTTGTTGGGGTGTCTCTGGTGTCATTTGGGATTCAGTAAGTATTCTGGTGCATGCGTGTGTACCCAGGACTGTGGGGCAGAATAGTTTATGTGAGGAATTATAACGTAACTCAGGAAGGCTAGGCACCATTTTAGATATTATATTTAGTTATCCAGGATTGCTTAATTTGCTCCCATGCCAGAAAGCATTGGGATAATTCATGTTTGTTTGTTTGTTTTAATGTTTATTCCTGTGCCCACTGCTAGGTTGAACTCATTCTCTGTGAAATCTGCTTTCAGGAGAGGGTGGAAGCAGCCTTGGCTTGTAGGGAGGGGAGCCAGCCAGGTTCTAGTTCCATTCCCCCAGGGGCTGGTTCCAGGGCAGGCTCTCTCAGGATCTGTTCCCCTCCTGTGCAGGAGGGGCCCAGACCAGGTGGCCTCTCAGGGCCTTTTCAGCTTGGACATTGAAGTCTTCACTTGATTTCCAGCAGACAGTAGCTGCTATGCCCTTTTCTTTTGGCCTCTGAAATTTTTCAGCTAGGCAGGAGCCAAGGCTGAAAGACAGGGCCTAGGTCTTTACCAGGACATTTTGGGATTTCTGGCAGGGAGCAGCCATTGCTGAGCACTGCCTGCCTGCCATGCCCAGGGGTCTGGGGCAGAGGTTCCACTGGGAGCATCAGGTTCGGCCTTGCTTTCCGCCTGATCTGTAAGCACTGTTCAGGTGCTGACTGTCAGTACCCCCATGTGTACGTACTCCACATGTGCACCCACATGCCATCTAAGCCAGAGGCAGGTGGAGAGGACCTATGCCCTTTGGAAAACCAAGGGGCCCTGCTGGAAACAGCCCTCTGTGTTATCATCCTCACTTCCAGCTGCTGCCCAGGGAGGGAGCCCTGTAGTCATAGCTCAGAAGGACATTTGCACTAGAATCTTTGTGATTCCAACAAACTCCCGGTTGTAGGGCCCTCTGTCGTTACGGCCCTTGTCCACTTCTTCCTGAGCCCTTGTCCACTTCCTTCCCCCTTGGGGGCTGTACGTGAACTGCACCCTCAAGTGTGAGGCCTTTGTACATGTGGCTCCCTTGGCCCAGAGCCTCTGTCCTCTTTGTCTGGCCAACCGTACTCCTCCTCCAGGGCTCCCCTGGCTGTCACCTCCCTGGAAGGCCCCAGGGTTGTGCCCCTCCAGCACAATGCATTTACCCCATTGTCATACGTACTACACTGGGTTGAGATTGCTCATCTCTGCCACCAGACTGTAAGGTCCTTGAAGGCCAGAAGCCCCAGCACCAGTGCACTGAAGCAGCTCTCCAAACTTTACCAAATACAAGTACTACCTAGTGGTTATGGTGACTGCAAAGAACAAAGCAAATGTGTAAATTGTGTCTCTGCCGAGTTTAGCTGCGCATCTATGTCAGGGCCTCTGTGAGGGCCCGTGGGCTCAGCTCAGGAGGGGCTGCGCAGCGTGGGCTGGAAGGAGAAGATTGTAAGTCAGTCGTGGGGAGAGAGGCGTTCAGCTCAATGCAGATCCCGCGCAAATTGCGTGGTGGTATTAAGGTGAAGGTCAAGGGAAATAATTGATCTCAAAGTAGTCTCTCCATCTCTAATATTCCCTGAGTGCTTTCTTACTCTGCTTTTTCTGTAGGTCCAGTGCCATCTCTGTTGTGAAGATTCTGAGGGTCTTAAGGGTCCTGAGGCCCCTGAGGGCAATCAACAGAGCGAAAGGACTTAAGGTTTTGATTCTTCTCCTCCATGCTTGGCTGGCTTGGGTTGGGGTTGGCTGTGATTACTGACTCTGTGAGCTAGAGCTGAGCTGAGGCCTGATGGATTTTTATTTTATTGTGTGTGTATATACATACATACACACACACACACACACACACACACGTATATATATATATATATTTTTTTGGGGGGGGGGCAACTGGCCAGTATGGGGATCCGAACCCTTGACCTTGGTGTTATAACACCGAGTCTCTAACCAACTGAGCTAACCGGTCAGCTATGATGGATTTTGAAGTGGGTTATATGTTGGAAAAGAACCTTTCTACCCAATTAAGCAACCTCAGCCAAGTGCTGATAGCATTTTAAAAGTTATTTACTTTATTTTTAATTTATGATATTTTTCTTATGATTACTGTTCATTTATTTATTTATTTATTTATTTATTATTAATAGTATTTCCTTGTGTTTGTTTTAGTCTTTAAATCTCATGCTGGTTATACAAAAAGCTAGCTAGCTTATATTTTCCTAAGTCCTTTATGGGGAGGGGGCCCTTTGGGCCCATGGCCAGGCAGTGCTGTACCTGCAGCATGTCTTCTGACTAAGCTATCTGCTTTGGAGGAAACCAAGGAGGGGCCTGCTTACGTGGTGCTTCTCACAGGCAGCCACGATGCGCTGTGGATACCTCCCCACAGAGAACCTGAAAAACCAAGTACATGAGACTGCTAAGTTAGAAAATCATATAAAAAGGCACATAAACCTAGAAACACTTGGTTGGCATTAACATGTCTAATGGCTGAGATAAGGAAGGGAAGTCATATCCCGTGTCTTCTCCCCTCTTTTCTCTCCCCAGCACGTTGTCCAGTGCGTCTTCGTGGCCATCCGCACGATCGGCAACATCATGATCGTCACCACCCTCCTCCAGTTCATGTTTGCCTGCATTGGGGTCCAGTTGTTCAAGGTAGCAGGGCGTGCCTGCCAGTGTGGAGCCAGGGTGATTTCTTTAAGGAGAGGCCTGTGCTTGACTGTCTGTCTTGTTTTGTACCCAGGGAAAGTTCTATCGCTGCACTGACGAAGCCAAAAGTAACCCTGAGGAATGCAGGTGAGTGTCCTGAGAAGAGAGTAGGGAATTTGGAAGAACAAATAAAAAACTGCAAGGATCCATTCGTGCTAGCATTTCATTTTATTTCCGTTTTTCTCACGGAATAAAAAAGGCCTTGTGTGCTCAGCTCATGCATGAATAGATGGTGTCTTTTTTTTTTTAACTGGGGTGAAATTCTTCTAACATAAAATCAACCTTTTTAAGTGGACAATTGAGTGGCATTTAGTGTAGTCAAGTCATTGCACATCTAACACCTCTGTCTAGTTCCAAAAGTTTGTCTCATCCCCAAAGGATGGATAGATGGTTTTTGGTGTTTGGTATAAAATTTATAAACTGGGGATGGGGTGGGGGAGAACTTGAAGTAACAATTATGAAATACCCCAAATAGCTCCCCTTTAGCCATGTGGATGATTCTCCCCCAGTCAGCTCTCGAAGCTCAACTCCTTGGTGCTCAGGAACTGGCTACCCTCTGCTGACAGGTTTTCCAGACTTCCTCCCTCCTCCCTGTACCACCTGCATTTTGGCCATATTTCCATTCACAAGACCAGGCAGAGGAGAGACAAGGTGGGAAATACTTGTGCCTCTTATTCCAAGATGTCCAGTGAATGTGAAGGCGTGCATGGAAACCATCGCCTGTGGTTTAAGGCCATGCAGAAGTCCGTGTCTCAGTGTCCTTCAGAGGCATGACTGAGCTCTGCCTGCTTGTGCTACTTTCTGGATTTAGGGTTCTTTTAAGTTGAAAGTCAGGTGGTCAAAGAGCACCAATTGCATTTTACTGTGGCTGTGCAGCTCGAGGCACCATTCACACAGGCTTGGGTGCATAGCGCCCCCTGGAGTTGGGCAGCACAGCAGCAGTGTGGAGAGACCGTGCCTTCCCTCTTAAGCCTCTGTCTGCTTCCTCATCTGTAAAATAAAGATACTGGACTTTTATCTTTGGGGTGCCTTCCAGAAACGAAGTTCTGTGAGAGATATTGTGCACCAGAAATTATAGAATTATTTTGAAAAGAAAATTGGGAATATGGTTAGTATGAAGAGAAAGGAATTTGACTGAAGCTAAAATGCACATAAGAATATACCTGGACTCGTTTCTCAGAGCTTATGGAATTCTTTGTGTCTGCAGCTTTGACTCTTCAGCATATATTTTGAGCCTGTTGTGTATGAGAAACTTTTACTGTTGGGTAGTTTTCATTTGTTAACAGACATATGCCAGGTGTCTGCCTAGCTGCTCTAGGGAATATACATTTCACTAATAGTTACTAGACAGTAATTTGACCCATAGAGCAGACTAAACACAGGGCGAAAAAAGGAGAAACACCACCCATGTTGGGCTCAGATGTGTGGCCTGGCTGGCGGACTGAGTGTGCCATGTCTGGAGGTGGCACTGGGGTGACGTGACTGACCTAATGCAGTTTCTACCTATCAAGTGGAGCAAGGATGACCCACACTGTTTTTCCTCTCTAGGGGGCTTTTCATCCTCTACAAGGATGGGGATGTTGATAGCCCCGTGGTCCGTGAGAGGATCTGGCAGAACAGTGATTTCAACTTCGACAACGTCCTTTCTGCTATGATGGCACTCTTCACAGTCTCCACGTTTGAGGGCTGGCCTGCGTAAGTATAGAGCACGTGCTGTCTCCCAGGGAGGCTCCCGCTTGCTCCTCGGGGAGTGATCTCTCCTGGGGTCAGTCCCATTTCTGCTGTCTGCAGTTGCAGGCTTGCCCAGTGACTTTTTAACTTTGTGCCACTTATCAATCACTTCTTAGCCCACAGGGTTCCTCTTCTGATTAGGCAAATGATGAACCCATGTGGCCTGCCGGCAGGATTCTCGGGCTTGTGAAGCAGGGATGGCATAGGTCCTGGCAGCATCTTTGTGTGGGAGTGGGGAGGTCTAAGAGGCATTTGTTGTGCAACCTCCCGTGAGTAGTAGCCTTGTTGGGAAAGCTGCCGTTCTGCTGTTCCCAAAGAGGGTCGTGATCCTGTCCCAAACCACTTGTTCTATCATTCCTTCCCCAGACTTCATGAGTCCTAACATATGCCAGGTGTGGGTGGTTGTCCTTGTCCATTCCTTTCACCGAGGTGCTGGCTCGCTCACTCACAGTATGTGCTGGTGACGCCAGCTCCATGCCACGTGCTGTGTCAGGCACTGGAAGAAGCAGGGTTGTCAAGTCAAGGGTTTCCCCTTCAAAGCCCAACTCTGGTCAGAGTATCAGGTGGTCAGACCCAGCAAGAGGACTGGTGTGGCCAAGATGTGCAGAATAGAGTCCCGAGCAGTGGTGGGGATTTGGGTGGTGAAGTAAGAAGAGTGGGGAGAAAGGAGGAGGTAGAATTTGGAAGGGAGAGACTCTCGTGCCTTTGTGTTGCTCTCTGCTTTCTGATGTCCCACCCCCAACCCCTGCTGTCAGAATGTGCATACACACAGCATCCTGTTTCCACTTCCCATGCCCAGAGGAGCTGCAGAAGGTGGGCAGGCTGGTCCTTGTGGGCTGGCAGAGCTCTCGGGGTGCATGGAAGAGTCAGAGAGATTTTCAGGAGCTCCTATGGGGTAACGGGACGGGTGGGTGGGGCTTGTTCATTAGGGAACTGACCCCGGGACAACTGAGGCATGGAGTAAGACCCTTCACTCTGTGGAGGCCTGGGCTGTGGTGTCAGGTTTTGAACACTGTACTTCAGCAAATCACAGTGGCAGCTTAGGAGAGATGAACAAACTTGGAACTTGGGCCTTAGAGGAACTGGGCTCAGCTCCTGGCTCTGCGCTCAAGAAATGTGACCTTGGGCACTTTGATCCCTCTCTTGAACATCCATAAGATGAGGATTACAGTAATATATTCCTTTCCAGATGGATGCAAGGATTAAGTGAGAGGATGTGAAAGTGTCTAGCACAGTGAACCCATGGGGTGGGTGCCCCAAAAGTGTTGACTTTGCATCACATGGGATCAGTTGAACTTGGGGGTGTTATAGTAATTTCCCTACTTTTGTTAAGAGTTCTGCTTGGCACATATTTAATTTTAGTACATATTCAGTTTGGGGAATCTCCCTTAGTTCTTTGGAAATTCTCTGTTTAGTTGTTATTGTCTTTGCCAGTATGTCTACAGTTTTCAGTTCCTCCAGTGTCTTACATGTGATGGTCTTACTCTCTTCCGTCTGTGAACAAAAGGAGCATAACTGAATATTTGTGAAATCTCTTGATTTTCAGTCCTCAATCAATCAACGATTATATCCCAGGTGCTTCCCTCTCTAGATGCTGGCTATCTGGACCTGAGGCTAAGGGGGATGCCCCGGGGACCTGCCTGTGTCCAGAGGCCTATGGATGGGCACCTGTGAGGGATTTAACAGTCAGTGCTCACAGGAGGAGTTCAGAAGAACTCAGGGGACATCTGGGGAGGCAGTGGGCTGGGCTGCTTGGGCTGAGTGGGGTCAGTAGGTCCTGACTTGGTTTTTCTGCTCTCCAGGTTGCTGTATAAAGCCATCGACTCAAATGCAGAGAACGTCGGCCCAGTCTACAACCACCGCGTGGAGATCTCCATCTTCTTCATCATCTACATCATCATCGTGGCTTTCTTCATGATGAACATCTTTGTGGGCTTTGTCATCGTCACATTTCAGGAGCAGGGAGAAAAAGAGTATAAGAACTGTGAGCTGGACAAAAATCAGGTTAAAGTCATACACTGTATGGGTTTCTGTCCCTTGAGCAAGAATGGAGTGCCTTCTCTTTTGATTGCTTTTCTCCGTGTCCAGAGAAGGGCGCCCACCTGCTATCTGCCCCTGGGGCTTGGGCCTGTTCAGAGCACGCTTTCAGCTAGTTTGAATTATCACTGCTGAGAGTTCAGTTCCCAGATACAGATCAGACTTTGTAATTGTGAAACCCATCCCCAGACCTGTTGGGGAGAAATCAAAGAATGCGTAGGCCACCTTCCGTTGTCACAACCTACTGGTGACAGCTCATAATCCTGTGGGGTGCTTTGGCCAGGGACCAGAAAATGCTCACTCAAACCTCACAGTCCCTACTGGGATAGTCTTTAATATCCACTTAAGACAGTTCTTAGCCTTGGTGCTGTTGACATTTTAGGCCATATGATTCTTTGTTGTGCCTCCTGTGCATTCACTAAATGCCAGTAGCACCTCCAGCAGTGACAACCAGAACATCTCCAGACATGGCCACATGTCCCCTGGGGGCAAAGTTACACAATTGAGACTGCTCAATTAGGGAGAAGCACCCCATAACAGCACAGGCAACATCAGTAACTTTAAACTTGGGACTAAGATTGCACGGGCATCATTCTTTCTTTATAGAGCAACTTGTTTTAGCCAATCTGGTGGAAGTAGGGGCCTTTGGCTCTGATTATGTGGTGTTGTCAGGGAGCTACCTGCTCTACCTGTACCGGCTCTGTGACTTTAAGTGTGTCCCTGCTCCCCTCTGGGGCTTGCTCCCTTACCTCTGAATCAAGAGCAGTAAGGAGTTGCTCTTCAGAGGTTCCTTTCAGCCCTTAAAAAGAGTCATTGAGATCGAGGTTCTGTCCTGGTAGCTTCCCCCAGGGCCTCATTCAGTAGTGTCTGTTTTGATGATGACATACTAAGCAAGAATGATCTGGGCTTCCTGAGGGGAAGTGACCATGGTGTGATGAGGCAGCACCAGTCTGCAGCTGCACCTGCTTGGGGAAATGTGAGGACATGCTGGCTTGGTTTGCAGGAAGCTTTTCCTTTGAGTTGTCAGGGTGTCCCTGCAGACTCCACCAGTTACAGAAAGGCCTGGCCTGGATCCTTGCCCACCCCAGGAAGATGAGTGTCAGGGCAAGGCCCAGGCTGGCCAGGCAGAACCAGTGCTGCAAGTGCGTTGGCACCTGAGGTCCAGAACAAGCTTGAATCGGGGGCCCCTGGAGTCAGTGCGTGGGGTCAGAGCAGCTGGGTCCCGGACACACAGGGCCTATCTGAAGTCTGCGTCCAGAGCCACACAGGAAGCCATGTCTGGGGCCTGAATGCTGGGCTGATGGCTCTCAGGGCTGAGGCTCCCTTGGGGCTTGCTGTGTAGGGTGGACCAGTCTCCATCTCCAGAGCAAGTGGGAAAGACAGTCCTCTGGCTAGGCTTTGATCTGAGTTCAATCCAGCCACTATTATTGACCACATCTTGGGAATTCTAAGATGGACATGACAAGCTCCCGAGCCCCTAAGGCTCCCAGATGGATGCACAGATAGCTCCGCATAACACATTTGTGGTTAACACGTTGTCGTCCTGAGAGGGGTCTCCTGTGGGTCTGTCCTGGGGCTGCCAGTCTCAGGGGAGAGCCCAGCCCCCTTGGTTCTTGAGGATTTCTGTGCCTGTTGTTACATGGCTTCCTCTCCAGGAGGACAGCACAGACAGGAGAACTGTAGACATGGACTGAGTCCTCCCTCCTCTGTTATGCATGCACTGCGGGACCTCAGGAAGACAGCTAAAATCTCTGAACCACAGTTTTTTAGTAAACACAATGGAATCAAAATGGGTACTGTGCTTACCCGTGTGAGGTTGCTGTGCAGAGCAGAGGAGGCAATAGAGGTAGGGCCCTTTCAGCCACCCCAGATGGTGCTGGTGGCAAGGAATGGTGGCTGCTTGTGGTCCTTTTCACCATCATCTCTGGTCCCTTCCCAGGAGGTACTGAGCGAGCTCTTTCAGAGCAGACGACCACTGTGTCCTCCTTCCCTAGAAGTGCTCAGAACCTGTTTTTGGGGCCGGCCCGGTGGCGCACTGGATAGTGCGCCGCTTGGGAAGCGCGGCGGCGCTCCCGTCCGACGGCTCCGCTCCCCC